CGAGGACAGCTTTCTCTCTCTCCCTTGTAACCGACATATCTTCTGCTGGAGAACTTTGAACTTGGAAGCTGAAAAGCAGACCGCATATCACACAAACATTTGTAACACTGTAAAAGAGATTTCCAAAGACTTATTGCCTACTTACAGCAGATACAACGAGGCACTGGCACCGGCAGATCTGTTTCAGTTGAGTTCTCTGTAAGTAGTCTGTTGGAGCCCGCAACTATTGGAACATTGTTAAGGTCGAGAAACTAAAAAGAATATAAATATGTAGCAAAAAATACACGAATTGAACAATACCCTACTAATGCCCCAATGGTGCGCTTGTTTAATTCACTGGTGCATCCCCAAAAAGAAGACCCAAACGCCGATGCCAACTAACGGTTGTGGAGGAAACTAAAATGGTGCACTCAAAAGCAGACAAGTGTGGAGGCAAGGGTTTTTGGATTTTCATGCGAGCAGTGGTATGCAATGCGCTTCTTGTCGCAAAGATCTGGTATTTGCTGCAGGTTATGCACTGTTCGCAAATCAATTAGCAACACATGCACAGGGAGTTGGCCGTATTCATTTAGAGCTCGGCTTGGGAACGTATGGGCCGAATCAATCGTTTTCAGCATGTCAAAGCTGGTGGTTTTGTTTATTAAATAGCTTGTGAATAGGTTTATCGGCAAGGGCCAGAAGGAACCATTTCTACGTGCAGGTATCAAGGTACAGCTGCAAACGGCACCGCCCGAGTTTGTTGTGTTTACGAGGGGTGATTTCAGTTCTGGCGTAGGGTTTTTTTTTTTAAAGCAGTAGTTGCTGCCCATCGGTTTTTGGTAGCATATTTTTCTCTTGATCACTTGATCAAATCTTGATCGTTTCGCTTTTTAATATTATGTTGTACCGCTTGCTGTTCAGTGCAGGACAAAGGCAAGATGATTCAAAGCGGGTCAGGCAAATGATGGTCTGCACTTTAGTGATGCAAAACTATCGATAAATTGACTTTCGATACTATCGATAGTTTTTCCAAAACTATCGATAGTGTCGCAGAACTATCGATAGTAGACTATCGGTAGTACTGTCGACAGTTTTTCGATAGTCGACTGTCGATAGTACTCTTGATAGTTTTTCGACAGTCAACTATCGAGAGTTTTTCGATAGTACTATCGATTCCTTTTTTACTATCGATACTCAGTTTTCTGGTGACTATCGATAATACTATCGATAGTTTTGCACTACTAGAGCGAACACAGTTGCCGCACCGCCGCTCGCTTCCCCTTCCTCCTCTCTTCGGCCAAACTCCTTTCTTCGTGATCACTGAAAGCTGAACCGAAGTTGAGACGGTAATTGCTTGGGCTAGTTAATGTCCCATTTGAAAAAAAAAAAAAAATACAGCGAGAAAAAGAGACGAGGGAGCGACGCACACTACTAATGTCGCATAGCTATCGATAGTAAACTGTCGACAGTACTATCGATAGGTTTACGATAGTCGACTATCGATAGTTTTTTGATAGTCGCTTAACAACAATTTTCCGATCGTCGAGTATCGATTGTATTATCCATAGATTTTCGATAGTCGACTATCGATAGTTTTTCGATAGACGACTATCGATAGTACTATCGATAGTTTTATTACTATCGATAGTAAGATTTCTGGTGACTATCGATACTATCGAAAGTACTATCGATATTTTTGCACCACTACTGCACTTACATCAAAACGTCTTTTTTAAGCTGCATAATGAGACCATGCCGGTCAAAGTATGGTTAGAAGGGAGGGGTATTCTCATGACATGGTGTGTAAAATGCCTATTATGAAAAATGCCAGAATCGATTGAGCATGTTTTGCTAGACTGATGGGATGCAGTGTTCTTACGGGACGTCCTTAAAACAACTTAAAAAAAAAATCTGTTAGCGCCTTATGGCATTCGCTAGATGTTTGTGGATGGAGGGGACACTCTTTTTCATTCATTCATTTCATTCATTCATTTATTGATACTGTCAGCCCATTGGGCTATTACAGGAGTGGGTATACAAAAATAAAAGATGAAAGTAACCACTATACAAAGAGTAATTAAACAAGACAATAGATTGCTCAAGACCGCTTCATACGCTTAAACGCGCACAAGAAAACGTTACAAAACTGAAAGCAGCACAGGTATTAACATTTCACAAAAAAGCAGAAACTTGGTCCGTATTTATACGATTACGGCTTTTCACGACTGTCACATTCGACAATATTATGTATACTTTCTAAAAAGGCATTAAGGGATGTTGACGAGACAGCAGAATCGGGCAGCATATTCCACTCTTTGATGGTTCTAGGGAAAAAACTGAATTTAAAACAATCATTTCGTACAGTTGGATTACGAATGAACATGCTATGGCGATGCCTTGAGGATTCGTTAGTGCTGATTTCGAAGTAATCCGATTTGTTGATCTTTATAAAGTTGTGTATAATTTGGAAAAAGAATTTCAATCTTTCGAACTTGGTCCTCGATTCCAAAGATGGGAGATTTGCGAGTTCACATAGTTTTGTAGGAGAAAATGCTTGGCCGAATTTGTTAAAGATGAACCTGGAAGCAAGTCGCTGAATTTTTTCCAATTTATGGCAATTTGTTACAGTATGTGGATCCCACACAATTTTCGCGTACTCAATAACCGGTCTTACCAGAGCTGTATAAGTCAGGCATCTTATTTCCGGAGTTGCACTAGTAAGGTTTCGCCTGAGGCACCATAGTGCTTTGTTGGCCTTAAGAAAGACTTTATCAATGTGGGTATTCCAACGTAGGTCTGGTGTAAATACTAAACCTAGGTACTTATGCTCTTTTACTCTTTTAAGTCCGACGCCGTCAATGTGATAGTTGTATGCTAAAATATTTTTTTTTCTAGATACTGACATGAAGACCGATTTTTCAAGATTTAACACCATCTGCCAATTATCACACCATTGTTGAATTTTTTGTAGATTACGATTTAGTTCGTCCTGGTCATCTGGAGTTTCTATTTTATGGTATATCACACAGTCATCTGCAAATAGTCTGATTGGAACGGTTATGTCTTTATGCAGATCATTTATGAATATTAAAAACAAAAGGGGACCCAAAACACTCCCCTGGGGAACCCCTGAAGATACAGGTGAAAGGCTAGACTTATGTCCCTTAACTTCTACAAACTGTTCTCTAGAAGAAAGATACGATGAAAACCACTGTGTGACGGCTGAATTTTTAAAAATGACGTCAATTTTCAGTAATAGCTTAGGGTGCGACACTTTATCAAACGCTTTCGCGAAGTCCAAAAACACTACGTCAGTTTGACCGCGACAATTAATCGTGTAAGAAAGGTCATGTACAGTTTCGATAAGTTGGGTTGTGGTGGAAAGTCCCTTCCGAAAGCCATGCTGGGATCGGAACAATAATTCATAATCTTCGAGATAATCCCTTAAATGTTTAGATACGATATGTTCAAGCAGCTTCGAACATGTACTAAGAAGCGAAATGGGCCGATAGGTGCTTACGTCAGACACACTGCCACCTTTGTGGACAGGAACCACTTTCGCGCGCTTCCAAGCACTTGGAAAAGAACAATTATTGATGGATGACTGGAAAATCATGGATAGATATTTGGAAACCCAAACTGCGTACCTTTTCAAAAACTCATTTGGAATTCCGTCGGGCCCGGGGCTCTTTTTTGTATTGATATTAAGTAAAAGGTTCAAGACTCCTTCCTCGTTTATTTCTGAGTCTTTAATAGGAGGGCTATCTGAAAAATCAACAAATCTAGGAAAGTTTCCATCGTCATCAATAAACACAGACGAAAAGAAAGCGTTAAATTGTTCCGTGCGCTCTTGATCATTGGTTTCATCGCTAGTACGACGCGATTTGACCGAGGGATTAACGTACCGCCAAAACTTGTGTGGTGCCTCCCTGAGAAATTTTTTAAGTGTTACATTGTAAAATTTCTCTTTAGATTTCTTTACTAGCCGTTTTAATTCCTGACTCATGCGGTGAATGCATGATTTATCTTTGATATTCGAACCATGTGAACGCGCTCGCTTTCGTTTGAGTTTTCTTTTTGCATGTATTATTTCCCTATTAATCCAGGGGTTTTGGTTCCTAATTTTTTTTATTATACTTTGGAATAAACCGCTCAAGGCATTGCTTAGTCATGTTCGTAAAGAAGTTCCATAGCGTGTCAGTACTGGCATTGGATTGGAAAAGAAACGTGAAGTCATCCAATGACTCTTCAAGATAATCGAGCACGCTGACATCATCGGCAGCCCCGAAATTTAGAAACGTCTTTTGCGAGCTTTTATGCGTGATATTCGGGGTCATTTCAAAAGGCGCAAGTACCATTTTATGATCCGAAGGGCCCTCAATAGTTTCCCAGCCGGAAAGAAACGATTTCAAGCGTGCCGATATAAAAACTAGGTCCAAAATTGATGATCTTGTTGAAGTCACTCTTGTGTGATCAGTTACAACCTGGATTAGATTGTAGCAAAATGCAAGCTCTATTAATTGGTCACAGCTAGCTACTTCCGTCGACCCAGGAGAAAGTGATAACCAATCTACCCCGGGTAAGTTAAAATCCCCCAAAAGTAATATGTTGTCCTCGTGACGTAGATTCAAGTCCATATAAGTTTGAAGCTTTATCATCACATCAGCCGGCGAATTCGGAGGCCTATACATTCCACCAATAAAGACAGTACTATTATTGAGCTTAGTTTTAATCCACAATGCTTCAACGACACGTACTTCATCAAGAGCAGAAAACTGAATATTATTTTGAATCATGATAGCAACTCCACCACCTCTTCCTTCTCTATCCTTTCTTACTATTCTGTAGTTCGGGGGAGTTACTTCAGAGTCGAGGACATCTTTATGCAACCACGTTTCTGTAATTACGACGATATCAGGTTCATGTTCCAGGATTATGCTTTCAATTACATCGACTTTATTCAAAATACTTCTGGCATTCATGTTCATGATCTTGAAGCACACAGGTTCTTTGAATTTTAGTCACTTATTTTCATCTCCCGGGGTGGTTTCTATGCGAGTCTCGAGGGGACCCTCATGGCACTTAAACCTCTCATTAGTAGCTTCGTTCCAGGCATAAAGGGCATTGTCCACTCTTAGCTTATCGAATACTAATTTCACTTTAGAACCCCTTCCTCTCTCTTCTGCCGTAGAATCCCACAGGTTTTTGCGGATCTCAACAACCCTTTTAGAGAAATCTTCACTGATGCTGATTGGGGTACCTTTGAGCTTGAAGCAGTTCTTCAAAATAGCCAGTTTATCTCGGAAGTCTGAAACCTTGAGCATAATCGGACGGTCTCCACCTGAAACCTGTTTTCCAAGCCTATGTATACGCTCAATAGAGTTTAGTTTATTATTTAGAATCTTATCAAAAACGTCATCATTCACCCTTTTTAGAAAAATTTCTTCGGTTTCTTTGCTGACTTCTTTAATACCTCCAACAATAAGATTGTTTCGTCTGGAACGATTTTCTAACTCATCAATTTGCCTGGCGAGTGTTTCAATTTCGGCGTCGCAACCGCCGACAGAGTGTTCGAGCTTTTCAAGTCTAGTCTCAGTTTCATCAACCCTTTGTAGCTTTTTTTCTATTGTCAGTAGTCTGTTCTGCATTTGGAGCATCGTTGCTTCGGACGATGCCTGTTTTGTTTGTATCTCTGAAATCTTAGACAGGATTTCTTTCTGAGTTTGAATCATTTCATTGAACATTTCTTGCGTAATCGGTCCGGGGTTTTCCTCAACATCTCCGGATAGCTTTAGTAAAAGCACTGCTGTTGAGAAACACTCACGTAAACAATCAAGGACTACATGTGGACACGGCAACACTAACAAGCAAAGGTGATCACTATGAAAACCAAACTTTCGAGCACCAACCTGCACAAAAAGTGGCACGCTTGGTGACATTGTCACGGCGGTGTTGCCGTCTCCACTGAGGCCTGAAGACGCTGGTATTGCTTTTATATGCACCGGTGGCGCTGATTCCTCAAGAAGCGATGACGTCACCATGCCCATCGGAGATGCGCTGAAGACGCTGGCCACGTGCAGCCCTTGCGATGCGTCGATGACAAGGCGATGAACGGAGTTTCCATCCGCAGATAAAGTCGGTGTTGCGTCCAAGGCTGCGGATAAGCATCCAACGATGATCTGCACAAAAAGTGGCACGCTTGGTGACATTGTCACGGCGGTGTTGCCGTGTCCACTCATGTGACAGCATAATGCTGTTGGTTTTTACGGTCTGTGGCAGGCACGTAGCCAGCGGGAAGCACCCCCTCTCCCCCTCATACAGCATTTTGCGAGGGGGAGGGGGAAAGGAGGTCCTCTTTCCCCGGAATCAAAATCCCGGCTACGTGCCTGGCGTGTTGCAATGCTATATTGTGGCGAAGCACGCTGACATCGACGTTCGTCCAGTGTATAAATATTTTGTTGAAACAATGAAAGAAGTTTAAAGTTCTGCAGTCTCCTCCCGACTGCTTGCCACTTTTTGAAAAGCTGGCAACTATCGGACTGGTAACCTTGTAATAACTTTTTCATTTATTTGTTTTCTTCTTTTGTATATGGGCCATCCCGGCTTGTGTTTTTGACGTCTTAGTGTGTATCTATCATGTTTGTATCACCCGTGCTAAAGCCAAGCAATAAAATAAAAAAGGGTAGCTCAGTGGTAATGCGCTGGCCTGATAACCCAGACAGACCTAGGTTTGATTCCGGACAGCGGCACGGCGGAAAATCTTTTTTCAAGCATTCCACAATATCGACAACAAACACCGAAATCAACTCAAGTAGGGGAAGAACACATAGCACCAACAGCTGTAAAAAGAGGGGGAGGGGGGCATGTTATATACCTGGTTCCGTGTGCCTCTGGTTTAAGATTTCTTCTGCTGTTATTTCTTGGAAGTTAGTCTGAGTCCCGGGACTGCTTAACGCATCTAAAGTAAGAATAAATATATGAACTAAAATAAAAGGTGCATCTACGCTTCATATTTTCCATTCTAGCACTGAGACACTCGCACACAAAGGGCACCAAAATAGGCTACAAAGACTAGTCAACTATAGCATGTGCTGTCATTCACAAGCTTACATTCTGCAGTTGCCTCTGGTTGCTACAACGCCGTCAGTGCCTGAAGATCACGGGGGACAGATGTGGCCGTAGCATCATTTGTACCTGAAATAATAATGCAGATTTTTTATTTCAGTGCTGAGACGCTCGCAGAGAGGGCACTGACATTTGCTATTAAGACTAGCCAATGCGGAGTGCAAGCTCATCTGCTTCTTTTGCAGGGGTTGTGGTAACGTCAGAAAGCCGAGCTCTCATTGTATCTGATTGAAAGATAGTGGGTAAACCTCAAGCCAGCTTGCTTTGAGGTCTACCTACTATCCTTAAATCAGAACCAATCAGCGCTTGTCACTCTGACGTCACCATGATCCTACCAAAAGAAGCAGACAAACTTGCGCTCTGCACTAAAGCGTCTGCTGTCACTTACAAGCTTACATTCCGCAGTTATCTCTGGTTGCTGCAACGCCATCAGTGCCTGAGGAACAGGAGTGACGGGTGTGGCTGAGGCATCATTTTTACCTGAAATAATCCAGAGTCCCCATTGCAGTCATGAGATGCTCGCACACGGGTACTCAAATCTGTTACGAAGACTAGCCATGCGGAACACAAGTTCGTCTGCTTTCTTTGCAAGGGTTGTGGTAACGTCAGAAAGCCGAGCTCTGATTGAATCTGATTGAAAGATAGTGGGTAGACCTGAAGCCAGCTTCCTTTGAGCCTTGAAATCTACCCACTATCCTTCAATCAGAACCAATCAGAGCTTGGCATTTTGACGTCACCATAATCCTTCCAAAAGAAGCAGACGGGCAGGTGCATTAATGATAGAATCAGAGAACACTCCGCCGCCACCAGGCAATCCGCGTCTGGCCACTTGGCTGTTCATTGTGATAGGTGTAAGCGTCAGGCCGAGTTTAATATTACCAAGACTATGGGGAAATTCAAAACGAAATTGGAACACGAGATACATGAGGCATTTATGATAAGGGCCCATGGCACGGATGTGTGTATTAGTACTCCTTCTGTTGCCTTATCCGGTAAGGAAGAGGCTTTTATCGGTAACTCAACAGTGACGGCAGTCTTTCCAGGGGTTTAATGAAAGTCAATCATCTTTGCGCATGTGCGGTTTTCTTCTTCTTTTGCTATGTGTTTCCTTCAGTGAAGTTCAGTTTCAAGTTACACATCGTCCTATATGCTTCTTTTTTTGTCCGTGTTTTTAGGCATATTTACCACCATGAATAAGTACCAACTAGCCCAACTCGCAGCTTGAACACTGAAATCTGTTACGAAGATTAATGCGGAGCACAAGTTCGTCTGCTTCTTTTGCAGTGGTTGTGGTAACGTCAGAAAGCCGAGCTCTGATTGAATCTGATTGAAAGATAGTGGGTAGACCTGAAGCCAGCTTCCTTTGAGCCTTGAAATCTACCCACTATCCTTCAATCAGAACCAATCAGAGCTTGGCATTTTGACGTCACCATAATCCTTCCAAAAGAAGCAGACGGGCAGGTGCATTAATGATAGAATCAGAGAACACTCCGCCGCCACCAGGCAATCCCCGTCTGGCCACTTGGCTGTTCATTGTGATAGGTGTAAGCGTCAGGCCGAGTTTAATATTACCAAGACTATGAGGAAATTCAAAACGAAATTGGAACACGAGATACATGAGGCATTTATGATAAGGGCCCATGGCACGGATGTGTGTATTAGTACTCCTTCTGTTGCCTTATCCGGTAAGGAACAGGCTTTTATCGGTAACTCAACAGTGACGGCAGTCTTTCCAGGGGTTTAATGAAAGTCAATCATCTTTGCGCATGTGCGGTTTTCTTCTTCTTTTGCTATGTGTTTCCTTCAGTGAAGTTCAGTTTCAAGTTACACATCGTCCTGTATGCTCCTTTTTTTGTCCGTGTTTTTAGGCATATTTACCACCATGAATAAGTACCAACTAGCCCAACTCGCAGCTTGAACACTGAAATCTGTTACGAAGATTAATGCGGAGCACAAGTTCGTCTGCTTCTTTTGCAGTGGTTGTGGTAACGTCAGAAAGCCGAGCTCTGATTGAATCTGATTGAAACATGGTGGGTAGACCTCAAGCGAGCTTGCTTTGAGGTCTACCCACTATCCTTCAATCAGAGCCAATCAGAGCTTGGCATTCGGACGTCGCCGTAATCTTTCCAAAAGGAGTAGACGAACTTGCGCTCTGCATTAAGGCATCTGCTGCCATTTACAAGCTAACCTTACGGGAGCTGTTTCTGGTTGCTGCAACGCCGTCAGTGCCTGAGGAACCGGGGTGACGGGTGTGGCCGAGGCAGCATTTTTACCTGAAATAATCCAGAATCTTCATTTCAGTACCGCGACGCTAGCACGCGGAGCACTGAATGAAATCTGTTACGAAGACTAGCCAATGCGGAGCTCAAATTCGTCTGCTCTTTTTGCAGGGGTTGTGGTAATGTCAGAAAGCCCAGCTCTGATTGTATCTGAGGGAAAGATAGTGGGTAGACCTCGAACCAGCTTCATTTGAAGTCTACCCGCTATCCTTCAGTCAGAGCCAATCGGAGCTTGGCGTTCTGACGTCACTATAACCCTTGCAAAAGAAGCAGATGAACTTGCGCTTCGCATTAAGACACCTGCTGTCATTTACTAGCTTACATTCTGCAGCTGCCTCTGATTGCTGCAATGCCGTCAGTGCCTGAGGATCAGGGGGGATAGGTGTTGCCGAGGCATCAACTGTACCTGAAATAATAATCAATATTCTCCATTCTGGTACCGAGATTTTCGCACATTGAGTGCATCAAAATTAGTTACAAAAACTAGCCAGTTAAGGTGTCCACTGTAATTCACCAACACACCTTCTCCTTTTGGCACTGGTTGTTGCGGCGCCACCAGCTTTTGAGGAACGGGGGCGAGAGGTGATGCCGAGGCACCGACTGCACCTGAAATTATGAACAGTGGGCTTTGACAAATTTTTGTCTAGGTAAATGTCGCCCAATAAAATGCAGTAAACAATCGGTAAAAGTAGCATAAACACAAGCAAATATTCCCGTAAACCATTTACGCCACCACCACCGTACAGTTGTGAGGTATCTTTTAACATACCGGCCCAGAGCTGCCACTGGTGCTGCGTGCGAAGCAAGAGCACGATGCGCTGAGCAAGTCCGGCGACGTTTCGCTCGCTCGTATCTGTCGACACGACCTACGGGCTGTTGTCGGAACGCGAACACACTCGGAACGAAGTCCGGGTGGTTCTAATCACTTGGTTATGGTGAAATGCCAAGCATACTTTTCATCACTCTAATGACAAAATTAGCTTAGCCGTAACCAGGTGCTTTCCCCAAATGCGATGGGAATCCGATGGCGTCCAATCGCATCTTTTCACGGCGCCTATCTACTCTCTACGACGGATCAGGCACGCGGGAAACTTATGAAAACTTACGCTCGACCCTTTTGTCATGTATCGGCTAGTGGCCAAGAGATGGCGTCACCGGGCACACGCGCTTATCCCGCGCTTTTCAAAAGCACGGACCTGGGGCACGGGACGGGCGCCAGGTCCGTTAAAAGCACATCTGGACGCTCCTCGGTGTCGTGGCTTGAGCTTCGCCCGGGATACATTACACCTTTTCGAGCTTTTTCAGCGCAGGCCCAAGCTACGCAGCTCTGTGGCATTTTGTCTAGCAGGCTAATTACGACGACTGGTATCGAAACGCCATAGAAACGCCTGGTACGTCCGGCGACTTCCGCCCACATCCCTCAGACCGGAAGTGCGACCGAAGCGCCACCACCGCGTCGTGACGGAACGAACCTGAGTTCGGGTACAATTCTAGCATTTATGGTCGTAAGCGATATGGGCCTGACGTTCATGGAAGATCTCGGTCACCATATCGTAGGATAGGTTTGG